TCCAATTTTTGTTATTAGTTGCAAAGTCACGTCCGACCCATCGCGGCCCCCTGGACAACGTTCCTCCAGGCCTTCCTGTCTTTTAACATCATGATTTTGTTCAAGATCTTGCCCCCACGCCCATAAGTCCATCACACAGTCCAATCTCCCACTGCTATGCTGGCAGCTTCCACTCATCCAGTTCCGGTTCAGGTGCAGAGGTGCAGAGACAAAGGATGACCTTGGTTTTCTAGAAAGAATGCTGTTATGGCTGCATATCATCTAACTCCGTACAATCCCTCCTCCCATTTTCCCCACAATAGAAAAGGCATAGTAGAATAATAGAAAGTGTGGCAGGTCTGAGATCCACAAGAAGAGATCCCTGCGGGCCTGAAAGATATTTGCAAATAAGAATAGACACAGTTAGCTTTGGGTCCTAACCTCCTTGGGTCCACACCCCCCTCTAAAAACGTTATTCATGACCTCGGGATATCTTACCAAGATTACACTACTGAGCAGTATAAAAATCGCCATTGAACCTGTATCTTTGATTGTTGTCTCGTAGGTACCATTAGCGGCGTTGACCATGGAGCCTTCCAACAACTCTACGACGTCCCCCAACAACAGTGATATGTTCAACAAGTTTGTCCACCTGGACGGAGAGCTATCGGAGAGATTTCATACCTTGTGGATTGTCCTGGTAGTGATCAATACCATCATCTTCCTCATGGGCGTGGTGTTGAACTCTGTAGCGCTCTATGTCTTCTGCTTCCGCACCAAAACGAAAACCACCTCGGTCATCTACACCATCAACCTTATCGTCACCGATCTGCTGGTGGGTTTCTCTTTACCCGTCCGGATCATTGTCCACTACAGCGCCAAGGACTGCCGCTCCTGTGCCCTCGTCCACATTTTCACCTACTTTGTCAACATGTACTGTAGTATCCTCTTCTTGACTTGCATCTGCATTGACCGGTACTTGGCTATTGTCCAGGTAGAAGCTTCGCGCAAGTGGAGGAACCCCAACTACGCCAAGGTCATCTGTGCTTTCATCTGGACGTTCGCCACCGTCATCACCTTCTCCATCCTCATCATGGCCATGAAGTTCTCCCACTGCTGCATTGCGCAGATTTTGCCCTTGATGGTCTGCGAGTACTTCTTCCCCCTGATTGTCCTCACGTTCTTCACGACCAGGATCATGTGCGCGCTCTCCAAGCCCACCCTCATGCACCAGAGTAGGGAGAGGCGGATGCGCGCCGTGCAGCTGCTCATCACGGTCCTCGTCATCTTCATGATCTGCTTCACCCCCTTCCACGTGCGCCAGCTGGCCATCGCCATCAACCCGGCCATGTCGTACGACCTAAGCTTGGTGGTTTACCACGTGACGGTCACCTTGAGCAGCCTCAACAGTTGCATGGACCCCATTGTCTACTGCTTCGTCACCAACAACTTCCAATCCACCATGAAAGGCATCTTCAGGAAGTCGGAGCTCGAGCAAGCCAGTGGGGAGGTCATCAGCGTCAACAAAGGGTCCGGATCAAACGCGCTCATGGCGTTTGCCAACGCGATAGGGAACCCCATGGGGTTGTCTTTGCCCAGCAATACCGCAAACTCCTAGACTTGAGCGGCCTTAAGAAGGACAGAGAGGATGTCTGCTATTCCTTTGGGCCTAAAACATTTTTCCCCACTTAAAGCATCGTAGCTGGGTTGCAGAATTTTTCAAGCTCTCCAATGACACACACTTGAGTTTATTTATGGCAGCTGGTGTTGTCATCTGGGAAATTACTTGGATTGCATTTGGAATTCCAGATACCGAGGAGTTTCCCCAATTCGGGAATTTACAGAGAAAGGAACGCACCCAGCGCTGTACTTTGCTAGCGTAGAAAGCATAGAATAACAGAGTCGGGAGGGACCTTGGAGGTCATCTAGTCCAGTCCCTTGCACAAGCAGGAGACCCTGGGCCAGACAAGTGAAAGCCTCCTGTGTTGGGGCACACATAACTTCTGAAGGAAGCCCTTCCCTTGGTTGATTGTTCTCACTGTTAGGAAATTTTCACCTTGGTTCTAGGTTGCTCCTCTCCTTGATTAGTGTCCATCCACTGTTTCTCGTCTTACATTTTGGTGCTTTGGAAAACAGTTTGACCTCCCTCTTCTTTAGGGCAGCCTCTCGAATATTGGAATATTGCTATCATGAAACCTTGTTTTCACTAGAGTAGCCATGCCCAGTTCCTGCAATCGTTGTTGATAGGTTTTAGCCTCCAGCCCCCTAAATCATCTTGGTTGCTCTTCTCTGCACTCTTTCCAGAGTCTCAACATATATATATATG